GAATGGATCAAGAAGATGTGGTTTATCTATACCATGGAATACTACATGGCAATGAGAAACAATGAAATCTGGCCATGTGTAGCAACATGGATGGACCTTGAGGGTGTTATGCTGAGCGAAATAAGTCAGGCAGAGAAGGACAAATATCATATGTTTGCACGTATAGGAGGATTAGGAGGAACTTGATGGAAGAACAAGGGGGAGAAGAAGGGGGGAAATGGTAGGGGAAAGGGAGAGAGGCAAACCATGAGAGACTCTTGAATGCTGACAAAAACTGAGGACTGATGGATGTGGGGGGGAGGGGGGATGGGCATGGAGGAGGGCACTTGTGGGGATGAGCACTGGGTGTTATGTGGAAACTGATTTGACAATAAACTATTTGTAAAAAAAAAAAAAAAAGAATTACCATATGGGTTTAATAACCAAAAGAGTGAAAGCAGAGACTTGAACACATATTTGTACACTTATGTTCATAGTAGCATTGTTCACAATGTGCAAAAGGTGGAAATAAGCCCAGTTGCCATCAATAATGAATAGAAATACAAAATGTGGTAAGTACATACAATGGAATATTATTCACCCTTACAGAGGAAGGGAATTCTGGCACATGCTACAATATCATTGAATCTTGAATATATTATGCCAAGTGAAGTAAATCAGACACAGAAGAGCAAATATTGTATGACAGGCACTCCTGTCATATACTTTATACTTTGTTTATTTATTTAAACAATTTTAAAGTGTTTATTTATTTTTTTTAGACAAGAGAGCAGCAGAGCGTGAGCAGGGGAGGGGCAGGGAAGAGGGAGACACAGAACTGAAGCAGGCTCCAGGCTCTGAGCTGTCAGCACAGAGCCTGATGTGGGGCTTGAACTCACAAGCTATGAGATCATGACCTGAGCTGAAGTCAGACACTCAAGTAACTGAGCCACCCAGGCACCCCCATATACTTTAAAATATAAATCTTTGGGGCACCTGGATGCCTCAGTCTGTTAAGCATCTAACTCTTGATTTCAGCTCAGGTCATGATCTAATGTTCATGAGATTGAGCTCTGTGTTTGGCTCTGCGTTGACAGCGCATAGCCTGCTCGGGATTCTTTCTCTTCTCTCCTTCTGCCCCTCCCTTCCTTGCACGTGCTCTCTCTCAAAAATAAATAAATATTTAATAAAGTATATGACAAAATCACTACTTTTAAGGTTTTTACCCTCCTGTTCAAGAGAAAAAGCTTGTACATATGAAACAATGAATGAGCAGTTTAGTCATGGTTATAATCTAGTTTTCATTTGAACATAATTAAGCACCAGCATTACAGTATAAAGCATAAATATCACAGGGTGTCAGAAGGAGAGCAATCATTATGAAATGAGCCCATTAGGGAAAGTTTTTAAGGAAAATATGGGATTTAAGATGTTTTTTTAAAAGTTTATTTTATTATTTTGAGGAAGAAAGAGAGCACGCAGGGGAGGGGCAGAGAGAGAGGGAGAGAGAGAATCTCAAGCAGGCTCCACATGGAGCCCAGCATAGGGGTAGATCCCATGAACAGGAAGATCATGACTTGAGGCAAAACCAAGAGTCAGACACTTAATCCATAGAGCCACTTAGGTGCCCCTAAGGTGTGTTCTAAATGGATGGAGTCAATGTATCAATTAGGGCCTATTAGTTGCAAGTGATAGAAACCCAACTCTGATATAGGTAAAAGAGTTTATTGGTGCTTAGAAGTCAGGGAAAGACTAAATGGCTGAGCCATGAGAAGATAATAGATGCAGCTGGGCCTCAGGAACAGCTGGAACTGACACTATAAATGCTGACTGGGTCTTTGTTTATCCTTCCATTACTTTCTCTCTCAGCACGTTGATTTTTTTTAAAAATATTTTTTATTTATTTCAAGAGAGAGAGAGAGAGAGACAGCGTGAGCAGGGGAGGGCCAGAGAGAGAGGGAGTCACAGACTCCGAAACAGGCTCCAGGCTCTGAGCTGGCAGTCAGCACAGAGCCCGACGCGGGGCCCGAGCCCACAAACCGTGAGATCATGACCTAAGCAAAAGTCGGACGCTTAACCGACTAAGCCACCCAGGCGCCCCTCAGCACCTTGATTTTATTTTCTCTTGCTGTAAACCACTTTTCTTCACATTATTACCAGTTAGCGAATAAGCTCTGCAGGAGCCACCAGGGTTAAACAGACTATTTTCCAGTTTTACAGCAGAAGAACTCTGGGAATGACCTGATTGATCAGATCAAGTGCTTATCACTGGACCAATCAGCTACAGTGGGAGGAAGGGGGAGTCACATAAACACCTGAGATCAAAGTTTGGGAGGGAGAAGAGGGGGATATGCTGAGCAGAGAAAATGTTAACTCTATTATGCAGAGGAATGAGTGTGGTTTAGGTAGATAGGAGCTGTGATGAGAAATTGAGGATTAGAGGGAGGAGCATAGATGGTATAGGAGATTTTGAAGGGCTTAGAATTTATGCATTGGAACATCTGGAGGCCAGAGGAATTTGGTGTCAGCTCTGGGTGTCACATTTTAAAGCGGAAATAGATAAACTGTTGTGTCCAGAATAGGGCAATCAGTAGACTGAATGTCAATTTGTATAAGAGCAATAACTATAGGGTTCTTTCTGGTTTTGGAAGGAGTGAAAGTCTAGAGACAGCAAAGAGAATTCAGTAGGATTTAGGGCTGGTGAGAAGAGGTTTAAGTTTTAAAGCAAAGATTTCCAGGTTAGAAGGAGGTGGGCATTTACAGAAATAGGAACATAAGGGGAGTTAAATGAGTAAATATGATATATTCAGTTTCAGACATGTTAAATTTGAGATGCTAGTGGTGTATCCCACAGCTGGAACTGCTATCAAGAATTTGGAAATGGAGGCACCTGAGTGGCTTTGTCGGGTTAAGTACCTGACTCTTTATTTAAAAATTGTTTTTTAATCTTTATTTTTGAGAGAGAGAGAGAGAGAGATTATTTTTTGGTGTTTTATAGAGAGAGAGAGGGAGACACAGAACCTGAAGCAGGATCCAAGCTCTGAGTTATCAGCAAAGAGCCCCATGTGGGGCTTGAACCCACAGACCGCGAGATCATGCTATGAGCAGAAATTGGATGCTTAGCTGACTGAGCCACCCAGGTGCCCCAGTACCTGACTCTTAATTTCAGCTCAGGTCATGATCTCAGGTTTGTGATTTCCACCCCCACGTCAGTCTCTGGGCTGACTGTGGAGCCTGTTTGGGATTCTCTCCCCTCCCGCCTCTGTCTCTTTCTTTCTCACTCAAAATAAATAAATGTCATAAAAATATAAATAAAAAATAAAAAGCTCTTCCTTAAAAAAAAAGTGGTTGGAAATATATGCTGGGATTTAGGGAAGGAGATGAAATTGTACATAACTCATTTCTGAAATGAGTCAGTGGTGGAGGCAGCTGTGGAAGGTTCAAGGTGATAGAAGAACCAGGCAATGTCAGTCTAGAAAAGTCAAAAGCAGAATTTCAAGAAGGAAGACGTGGTGGAGTGGAAACAAATGGTGGAGGAAACTTGGAAAAGCCAATTGATTGTATTTGGTGAGGTCTTTCGGAACCTTGGAAAAGACTAGTGAATTGCCAGGGGATATAATTCATTCAGATACTTGCTGAGAGCTTAATTCCTGCTAGCACAGTGCTAACTGCTGGGGACAGGAGGAACAGCAGAGTTCTAGACCCAGGAAGCTCACAGGTGGCAGAGGAAGTGAGAAGTGAATACTTAAGATACAATGTTGAAAGTGCTTCAACAGCGGTGTGCAATGGATACAGTAGTTCTGTAGAGGGGATGGCCCCACTGGGCAGGATTTGGGGAGGACAGTTTGCTGTCTAGGTTCATGGTGGGTCTCCAAAGATGCCGTGGGGGCGATTCCAAGGATATCCTGTCCTTTGAGGCCATGGGCAGCTCTTAGGTGCTTGCGGGGAGAGGCGGCAAGAGGGGACCCTGGCGCCCCGGGGCCAAAGGACATTAGCAGTATTTGGGTCCTATTTGAAAGATGCGAGGTGGAGTTTGCAGCCTGAAGCAGATGGATGCAGAAAGGGAAGGAGGAAAGCTTCTCTAAATTCTCCTCCACTTTCTCACAGGGCAGAAAAGATCAGAAGGCGTGGAAGCGGAGCTCTTTGGGAGGCTCGTCGACCAAAATCCTCACTCAATTCGCCGGGCTCCGGAGATCTTGCTACTTTTCTGCGGACTGCGCCTCGGCCGGAACTCTAGTGCCGCGAGGCCTGGTTTGACTCCGGACTGGAAAAGCAGATGGACACACACAAAGAGAGTGGAGTACCCGGTCGGGAAAAGCGGAAACCCGGGTGGAAGTCACTCGCGCGCCCCGGCAGAGAGGCGAGCGGGCACGGGTGGAGGGCTGTTGGCGCGTCCGGGACGTGGGAGGGCAACACAGCCCTAGGAGGTGAGGCCTGACGGCGCTGCCTCGCCACGGCATGGTCCCGACCGCTCCACCGAAATCAGACCCGGAGTTAAAGCAGGAGCTCTAGGGTTAGTTTTGCCACTTAACAGCTGTATGACCTCGGGTGATTTATTCTTGGAACCTCCGTTTCCTCGTCTTTGTAATCGGAACACTTATAGCACCTCTCTCAGGACTGTTGGGAGCAGTCAGTGAAATATACTTAAAAACAGTTTCTGGCATGTGGTAAGACCTGGATATATAGTCTTTACTAAGAATACTCTGTTTTAGCTCATAGGATTGGTTCCGTTGCCGTCAAAATTCATCAACCTCTGCCCGGGTTCGTCCAGTTGATGGGTTTTACTTTATTGGTAGAAATACGAAGCAAAAATTTATAATTAAGTTTACATTATTAGAGAAGTAACTGAACTACTGAGGGCTTGGAAGATAGGGTGAATAATGTTACTCATAATCCCATCCTTTTTACGGCTTTAAGTCTTTTTTCGACACCCCACCCCCCCAAGCTTGTCTCTGCACTTTTATGCTTCTAATATTTGTATGTATGCAATTTGGATTCCTCCTTATTTGCCACTTAGTAGTGTAGCCTGTAGTTGGGGTTCACGAGAATCTTTTATGATTGTACAAATTCTGTTTTTTATGGGATTATCATTTGCTTCCCAAATTCCTTTATATGTAGAGATAAAATGAAGCACAATCAGTGAGGGAAATTGAAATACTACCTGTAATTCCAGGACCTCAGCTCAACTTTTAAATTTCCTGGTTCCCTTCTATTTTTAGTCTGTATGAAAATATGCTGTTTACTCGGTTTTCATTTATTCAGCAAACATTATTGGGCATCAGTTATGTTTAAGCCATGGTCCTTATGATTAAGGAGGTCAGAATGAGGTAGACAGATAAAAACAATATTTTAATATTATGTAAGGGCTGAAAGAGTCATATGAATATTTTCTTAGGAAAATAGATACTATGGAAGGAGAGTAATGTCATTGCCCCCTAGTGGAAGGCCACCAGGAACATGCCTATAGTTGAACATGAGTTTATTACTTTTTACAGTGAGAGAAAACACACACCATAGGAAGCCATGGGACATCTCAGTAAGAGAGTGTTAAAAGGGATTTATTTTTGAATTTAGGTTTGTGTTAAGTGATTTTGGGGAAAGAAGTCTGGCAGTGGAGGTAATTCTATAACTGGAAATCAGAAATCTTATCTATCTAGAGTTAGGCTAATGCCATGACTGGTCAAGACATACTTGTCATTCAAGGCACCAAGGTGGCTCAGTTGGTTAAGCGTCCAGACTCTTAACTTTGGTGCAGGTCATGATCTCAGAGTTTGTGAGACTGAGCCCCGCATCAGGCTCTGTGCTGACAGTGTGGAGCCTGCTTGGGATTCTCTCATTTCTTGCTCTCTGCCCCATCCCCCTCACTCACACACTCTCTGTCTCTCTCAAAATAAACTAATATATATATATATATATATATATATATACACTAGTCGTTCATATTAGCTGTGATAGCATATTTGGTCACTTTTGTGGTTTCAGCAGTGGAAACTTTTTTTTTTTTTATGTGTTTAGACAGGATTACAGTTGGTCTTTTTAAAATTTTTTTTTTAATTTTAGAGAGAGCGTGGGTAAGTGGGGGAGAGGGGCAGAGAAAGAGAAACTGAGAATCTTAAGCAGGCTCCACGCTCAGCGCAGAGCCTCACACAGGGCTTGATGCTGTAACCCTGGGATCATGACCTGAGCCAAAATTAAGAGTCAGATGCTCAGCTGACTGAGCCACCCAAGTACCCCTACAGTTAGTCTTGATGGAGTTGAGGTTATTGCCCATGGATATGAAGATAAATCAGGTCAGGAGATGGGCACATTTTGGAGGGCCTTGTGTATTATTTTAGGAGTTTGAGTTTCTGGGGGTGAGTTGCTGACTTATTATACAGGGAGCGCAGTCTTATTTAGACAAATCCCTTTTGTTACCTGGCAAAGGATAGAGGTAGAGGAGATCAGAGTCAGGGAGATGTGTTAGAACATTGCTACTTAAAGCAAATTGGCCTGTGGGCCAATGACAAGGGCATCACTTGGGGGCTTGTTAGAAATGCAGAAACTCAGGCATTATCCTATACCTACTAAATCAGAATCTGCATTTTATTTATTTATTTTAAGAAAAAAATTTTTTTAATGTTTTATTTATTTCTAGGAGAGAGTGAGACAGTGTGAGCAGGGGAGGGTCAGAGAGAGAGGGAGTCACAGACTGAAACAGGCTCCAGGCTCTGAGCTGGCAGTCAGCACAGAGCCTGACGCGGGGCCCGAACCCACGAACCGCGAGATCATGACCTAAGCGAAAGTCGGACGCTTAACCGACTAAGCCACCCAGGCGCCCCAATCAGAATCTGCATTTTAAAGAGATTAAAACATTTTTTTAATGCTTGCTTATTTTTGAGAGCAAGAGAGAGACAGAGCACAAGTGGGGGAAAGACAGAGAGAGAGAGGGAGACACAGAATCCAAAGCACGCACCAGGTTGCGAGCTGTCAGCCCAAAGCCTGATACGGAGCTCAAACTCACAAACCGTGAGATCATGACCTGAACCGAATTCGGTTGCTTAACTGCCTGAGCCATCCAGGCGCCCCCAGAATCTGCATGTTAACAAAAATCTCCGATGAGTCATAGGCATTTAAAAAAATTTTTAACAAGTATTTTATTATTATTTTAATGTTTATTTATTTTTGAGAGAGAGTGATGGAGCATGAGCAAGGGAGGGGCAGAGAGAGAGGGAGACACAGAATCTGAAGCAGGCTTCAGGCTCCAAGCTGTCAGCACAGAACCCGATGTGGGGCTCAAACTCATGAACTGGGAGATCATGACCTGAGCTGAAGTTGGATGCTTACCCAACGGAGGCACCCAGGCAGCCCTTTTATTTTTGTTTTTAAATGTTTATTTTGAGAGATGGGGGGCAGAGAGAGAGGGAGAGAGTTACAAGCATGTTCCACACTGTCAGGTCAAAACCCAGCATGGGGCTCTATCTATCTCACAAACTGTGAGATCATGACCTGAGCCAAAGTCAAGAGCTGGATGCTTAACCCACTGAGATGCACTGCACCAATTCATCAGCACTTTAAAGTTTGAAAAGCCTTTGTTGGGGAATTACAGTAGTCCTGGTAAGAAGCAATAAGACTCTGAACCAAGGCACTGGTTGAGGAGGTGAAGAATTGTGGAGGTATTATTATAACAAATATTACAAGTCTCCTGCATGCTGGCCCCATCCTGGGAGCTGGAAGTACCACAGAGAGGATGGTCTCCCCACCAGACTGCAAGTGTCTTGATGGAAGAGACTAACAAGGAAATTGGTCAGTAACCTGTAGTAGGGAAAGTGCAAGCTCAGGATTCAGTGAGACCACATCAGAAGGATGCAGGCCTGGTGAAGTTGAATAGTCAAGGAAGGGTTCTTGGAGGGGTAAGTGATGTTGAAGCTGAGTTCCAAAGGGTAAGCGAGCTAGGCAAAATCTGTGGGGGGGCATTCCTGGCCTGGGAACAGCAATCAGCCAACGACTAAAGCCCAGAGAAGGGAATACTGGTTGTCACTTGTTGGGCCACAGGTGTTTGCTAGGAGTGGAGTTGAGAGTGGGGTGTGACTAGAGGTGAGGTTGGGGAGATGTATGGAGGCCAGATGTGGAGGAGTCTTCTAGACCCTGTTTAGAAAGTTGGCCTTTATTCTAAAGACCATGAGGGAGCCCCACAAGTGTTTTAATCAGAGAAAATAAAGGATGAGTTTTGTGTTTTAGGCCCTTCTAAATGCTGAGAGGTAGGATGAGGTAGAAGTGATGGCTGCAAGCCTGGAGGCAGGGAGCAGAGTGCAGTGTTCTACAAGAGAGAAAGTGGTGATCCTCCTGATGTAAGGAGTGAGGGAGGAGGGGCATTCTAGAAGGATGACCACTCCTCTGTTGTAGTTAGAGTGGTTTGAGCACTATTTGGATGTAGGCACCTAGGCAATTGAAGCAGGTGAGCCGGATGGTTGGATTTTGGCATTCTTGAGGCTTTTTTTTTTCTTTTAAGTTTTCAGTGTTATGTTTATGTCTTCATTCAGCAGCATGTTCTGACTAGTGGGTGAATTTTTGTTTTTGTTTTTCATTTCTCCTGGTCTTTGGGCCAAGACAGGAGAAAGACAAAGAAATTGACATTACATATTTTGTTTCCTTTTAGGGCTGGCTGGAGTTAAGTAGAAGAGAGGACTGTTTAGCCAAAGTTGTTATTTTACTAGAGCTATAGAACTTGTATTGCTGATGTTTTTACTAGAGGCAGCAGCATCTAGTAGAAGTACACAAAACTAGAGTTCTAGTTCTAGCTTTCATACTGATTAGCACGGTGAGCTTAGGCAGATCACTTGACCTGTTGGTGTTTGTTTCCTAGAGAAAGGAAATACCTACCTGGCTTGTCTTGCAGGAGCCTTGTGTGTCTTAAATGAGATAATACATGTCAAGTGGTTTGAAAACCTTACTGGATCAGAGAACGCTGTTGTAGCTGTCATTCCATCTGGTCTTCAGAAGAATACCCTATGGTAGGTAGAGGAGGTGTTAACACAATCTTATCTCCAAGGAAATGGAGGCTTCACAAGATTAGTAGCTTTACCTGAGGGTAAAGAGCTTTATAGGTTTAGCTGTATGAAATTGCCAGTATTCACAATACTTATAACCTAATAAGCAGGCACATTTTCTGACTCCACATACAATGTGCACCAAAGTCCCTCTTTTTAAAAATAGATGAAGTGCTAAAATGTTGTCAGTTAGCCTAGGCCCTGGAGTGAATTAGTGAATTAGTTGAATATTTTGTTTTAGGAATCCATGATTTCTTTAAAAATCCATCATAGGAGTGCTCAGTCTGTGATCTTGTGGTTCGTGGGCTCGAACCCCATTTCGGGCTCTGTGGTGACAGCTTATAGCCTGGAACCTGCTTCATAATCTGTGTTCCTCTGCCTCTGCCCTGCTCATGATCTGTCTCTCAAAAAATAAATAAATGTTAAAAATATTTAAAAAATAAAAATAAAATCCGGCATAAAAATTTGCTTTAAGATAAACACAACCTTTTTAAAACATTTAAAAAATTTCTAAAATGTACATCCAAGTTAGTTAGCATATAGTGCAACAGTGATTTCAAGAATAGAATCCTTAATGCCCCTCACCCATTTAGCCCATCCCCCCTCCCACAACCCCTCCAGTAACCCTCTGTTTGTTCTCCATATTTAAGAATCTCTTATTTTTTGTCTTCCTCCCTGTTTTTATATTATTTTTGCTTCCCTCCCATTATGTTCATCTGTTTTCTATCTTAAAGCCCTCATATGAGTAAAGTTATATGATATTTGTCTTTCTCTGATTGACTAATTTCACTTAGCATAATACCCTATAGTTCCATCCATGTAGTTGCAAATGGCAAGATTTCATTCTTTTTGATTGCTGAGTAATACTCCGTTTTATATATATATAAATATATATAAATATATATAATATTATATATATTTATATATATAAATATGTATTATATTATATATATTTATATATATATATGTATATACACACACACCACATCTTTATATATTCATCCAAGATGACCACAACCTTTTGAAGCACATACTTGAATTATTTTGGGGGTAATAATTGACTCCATGAAGGGGGCCTGTGTTTCTCTTCCTCTTTTTATTTTTTTGCGAGGTAGTGGGATGCTTTATTTACCACACAAACAATCATGCTCATCGTAGGCCCTGGGGAAGTGTTTACAGAATTAGAAAATAAGTTAATGAATTTCACAGTACATGTCTTTGTTGAATTTGAAATTGTGATGCAGTCATTGCTACCCTGGTAACTCTTCAATGTCTTTTTCTGTTCTAGGTGGAATTGAGCTATTTGCTGAAACTTCTTTCCTTCGTAGTCTAGGGAGAAACTTACATTTGGATTTTACTTTACCATGGCTTTGGTTCACAAGTTTCTGAGTGGCACTTATATTTTCAGAAAGTGCCTGAAGCCAACTGTTGCCTCATGTCCAATTTTGGGTACTCGCTTTGCAGACTATTGTTCTAGTAGTCTTCAGAAACCTGTGGCTGCTCCTGGCAAAAACTCCTCTCAAAGGAATACTGAAGGGGATTTGCAAGGACATCACCAGAGAGAAGTTGCTTTGGATATAACTTCTCCAGGGGAGAAGCCTGAATTTAGTTTTGATAAAGCAATTAAAGATGAAATAAAGGACCATTGTAGGCGTTTAAAGGATGATATTGTGAATTATTGGAGAGGCCCTGAAGGCCGCCCTCTGCATGAGGTCTTGATGGAACAAGCCAAGGTCGTCTGGCAATTCCGTGGAAAAGAAGACTTAGATAAGTGGATAGTGACTTCTGATAAGACGATAGGAGGCAGAAGTGAAGTGTTCCTGAAGATGGGCAAGAATAATCAGAGTGCACTGCTGTATGGAACTCTGAGCTCTGAAGCGCCTAAGGATGGGGAAAGTGGTCGCAGTGGGTACTGTGCAATGATATCCAGGATTCCAAGGGTAAGTGAAGCCCCAGAGCGTCAGTGTTCCAGTGAATGGGGGTGAATTTCATTGTAGCATGAACTGTAGCAGATAGCTTCTTTTGTTTATTTTTTTAAACGAAACACTTTTTTTGAAGTTTGTTTATTTTGAGAGACTGAGAACGGGAGCGGGGGGAGGGGCAGAGAGGAAGGAAGGGAGAGAGAATCCCATTGCAGGGCTTGAACTCACAAACTGAGGCGAACTGTGAGATCATGAACTGAGCCAAAAGCAAGAGTCGGACGCTTAACTGAGTCACCCAGGTGCCCCAACAGATAGCTTTTGTTTCTGTAAATGAAAACACCTGGCAGATCATTTGTGTCAGTGAGGTTAAATAACTACAGGGCATAGGTGTAAAGCAAAAGCATATGGGGAAGTGGTTCCTGAGGAGGGCCTCTTGTTTCTGGGCATCACTTTGGGTCAGGGTGGGGCATTCTTATGTTTGAGGAGCCCTGAGAAGTCAGCCATTTGAACAATGATCTCAGGGATGTGCGTCTTCTCTAATAGACCACAAACCCTGTGATGGCCAGAGGTTCCTTAGGGTAGATGTAAGATCAGCATGTTCCTTCTATTTATTTTTTAAATAAACTTTTTAGCGGCACCTGTGTGGCTCAGTCGATTGAGCGTCCAACTTCAGCTCGGGTCTTGATCTCGCAGGTGGTGGGTTTGAGCTCCGTGTCGGGTTCTGTGCTGACAGCTAGCTCAGAGCCTGGAGCCGGCTTCTGATTTTGTCTCCCTCTCTCTCTCTGACCCTCCCCTGCTCATGCTGCCCCTCTCTCTCTCTCAGAAATAAATAAAACATTTCTGTATCCCTTGGGTAAATTCCTAGCAGTGCTATTGCTGGGTCATAAGGGAGTTCTATTGTTAGATTCCTGAGGAACTTCCACACTGTTTTCCAGAGGGGCTGTACCAGTTTACATTCCCAACAGTGTAGGAGGGTGCCCGTTTCTCCACATCCTCGCCAGCATCTAGAGTTCTCTGATTTGCTCATTTTAGCCACTCTGACTGGTGTGAGGTGGTATCTCAGTGCGGTTTTGATTTGTATTTCCCTGATGAGGAGGGATGCTGAGCATCGTTTCATGTGTCTGTTGGCCATCTGGATGTCCTCTTTGGAGAAGTGTCTGTTCATGTCTTCTGCCCATTTCTTCACTGGGTTGTTTGTTTTTCGGGCGTGTAGTTTGGTGAGTTCCTTATAGATTCTGAGGCATAGGAGCACATGTACCCCAATGTTCATAGCAGCACTCTCCACAATAGCTAAAACATGGAAAGAGCCTAAGTGTCCATCAACAGATGAATGGATCAAGAAGATGTGGTTTATCTATACCATGGAATACTACATGGCAATGAGAAACAACAAAATCTGGCCATGTGTAGCAACATGGATGGACCTTGAGGGGGTTATGCTGAGCGAAATAAGTCAGGCAGAGAAGGACAAATATCATATGTTTGCACGTATAGGAGGATTAGGAGGAACTTGACGGAGGAACAAGGGGGAGAAGAAGGGCTGAAATGGTGGGGGAAAGGGAGAGAGGCAAACCATGAGAGACTCTTGAATGCTGACAAAAACTGAGGACTGATGGGTGTGGGGGGGAGGGGGGGATGGGCATGGAGGAGGGCACTTTGGGGATGAGCACTGAGTGTTATGTAGAAACTAATTTGACAATAAACTATTTGTAAAAAAAAAAAAATTAATTTGTTCTTTTCTTTAAAAAAAAAAAAAAGAAATAAATAAAACATTTAAAAAAATAAAAATAAATAAACTTTTTATTTTGGAATAGTTTTAGTTTTACTGAAAAATTGTGCAGATGGTACAGAAGGCTCCATAGGCCTCTCACCCAACTTCTCCAGTTATTGCCATCTTATACTGCTGTAGTACATTTGTCACAATTAGGAAACCAACATTGGTACATTACTATTAACTAATTCCAGACACTGTTTGTATTCCACTAGTTTTTGCACTTGTACTTTTTCTGTCCTGGGATCCCAGCTGGACACCACATTACATCTAGTTGTCATGTCTCCTTAGGCTCCTTTGCTCTGTGATAGTTTCTTAGTCTTTCCTTAGTTTTCCTGAGGATTTGAGAAATCCTGGTCAGGTATTTTGTGGAAAGACCCTCAATTTGGGATTTTTTGATGTTTTTTTCTCCTTGTAAGACCGGGTTTTTGTTTTTTTAGGAAGAATACCACAGAGTTGAAGTACTGTTCTCATCACATATCAGAAGTACATGCTAGCAATGTGACTTATCACTGATGAGTTAACCTTGATCACCTGGTCAGTAGTGTTTGCCAGGTTACTGCATTGTTACTGTTTGTTTCTCTTTCCATACTCTTCTTTGGAAGCAAGTCACTGAGTGCATCCTACATTCAAGGCATGGGGTTAACTTCTGTCTCTCTTGTTTTAAAATTTTTTTTATTGTTTATTTACTTTTTGAGAGAGAGACAGAGTGTGAGGGAGGAGCAGAGAGAGAAAGAGACACAGAATCCAAAGCAGGCTCCAGCCCCTGAGCTCTCAGCACCTAGCCTGATGTGGAACTCGAACTCATGAACTGTAAGACCTGTCTGAGCAGAAGTCAGACACTCAACCCACTGAGCCACCCAGGTGCCCCAAAGTTCTGTCTCCTTTATTAAAGGGGTGATATTTTCATAAATTATTTGGGATTCTTAAGAGAAGTTTTGTGTCTTCTGCCTTATTTATTTAATCAGCCAGTCATTTTGTATGGACTCATACTTTGGGTTATAATCCAATGCTATGTTATTTATTTTGTTGCTCAAATTGTTCCAGTTTTGGCCATTGTAAGCTCTTTCAAGTTAGTTTTTGTCTCTTTGACATGCCTTCATTTTTTTGTTTTTTTAGCACTTTTTGGCACTACAGCATGCTCTGAACACATTTTGTATTTTCTCTGTCCCAACCCTAGAATTAGCCATTTCTCAAAAGAGCCCTGATTCCTTTTTTGGGGGAATGGTATTAGAAACACAGATCTGGGTGCTGAGTACACTTGTTGCTACTGGGTTGACAATACTTCCGGGACCTTTCAGTGGACACAGCAGGAAATACAGGAATGTATACCAACCCGTGGAAACACATGTCTGTAATTATTTCTGTAGAAGCCAAATATGAGTTCATACCGTGCTGACTCTCATATAGTACTATGTGGTTCATTCCAGGCTTCTCCCTCTGGCTTATCTATAACGTCCTACTATAATAATGTGAGACACCTATCTCCCATCATTTACTATCAATTTACCTATTAATTCAACCCCACTATACATGCAAAGCAGTTTTAGAACATTTTAATTTTTTATTAAAAATTTCTTTTAATGTTTATTTTTGAGAGAGAGAGAGTGAGCAGGGGAGGGGCTGATAGGGAAGGAGACACAATCTGAAGCAGGCTTTAGGCTTGAGTACGGGCGGGGCTCAAACCATGAACCATGACATCATGACCTGAAGTTGGATGCTTAACCAACTGAGCCACCCAGGCACCCCTATTTTTTTTTTTTTTAATGTTGATTTTATTTTTGAGAGAAAGACAACGTGAGTTGGGGAGAGGCAGAGAGAGAGGGAGACACAGAATCTGAAATAGGCTCTAGGCCCTGAGCTCTCAGCACAGAGCCTGGTGCTGGGCTCAAACTCATGAACCATGAGATCGTGACCTGAGTCAAGATTGGATGCTTAACCAACTGAGTCACCCAGCGGCCCCAGCAGTTTCCCAATTTATAACCCATAACCCTGTGAGAAACAACTTTACCAACTAGAGTACAGTGGTTATATGTAATTTCCTTGGTCTTTAATTTTACAGTTTCCCATCAGAACACTATTTTCCAGAGTTACTTAGGTTAGCTCCTTTGTCTCACCACTAGTATATGGCTTTTTGCAAATTTGATGGCCAGGTGTTGTTTCAGGGCTGCCTGGACAGGCTCTTGTGCCTGGCCTGGGCCACAGCCCCTGGATGTTTGCTTGGATATTGTGCTCTAAGGAGAAAGGCATACATTAGGAATTGTGGGTCCCTCTCTCCAGATAATGATGAGAAAGAAAGGTATATGTTCTTTCAGAAACAACAAATATGCATACAAAGATTTTTTTTTCAGTGTCTGAAATCCACAGAATGGATTTGGTCTTTCCACAGTAGAAAATAATTCTATGGCTGGATAAATACTGTGGAGTAATGAAAATAGGTGATAAAATTTATTAAGTGTGCCTTGCCAGTTCTCTTGATACTTTATATACATTTATGTATATTTACATACCTTTAAATCCTCAAAATAATCCTGTAAAGTGTGGTCATCCTAATTTTACAGATGAGGAAACTGAGGCTTTGGGAGCGTTAACAGCTTGTCTAAAGTTACACAGCTAGCAAATAATAGTCCATATCTGAGCACTGCTATACTATAAATAAACACCTTTTTAAAGTAACGCTAAATTCCTCTTTCCGTGAGAGAGAGTATAGGTAGTTGTTAAGTGTAAATACAGATTTTGGAATTAATTGGCACTGGACCTACCATTTCCTAGTTGAGTGCTCAGTTTCTTCATTTGTAAACTGGAACACGATGATAGTACTTATCTCAGAAGGCTGTGAGGATGAAATTATGCATTCACAGTGCTTAATGTAGGTTTTCATTGGATGGTAGCTATTGTTATAAAATAGCAGTTTTAAAACTCGAGCTCTTTCATAGTTTTCTGATTTATGGAAAGGCAGCTGTCATGCCCACTCAGAATCCATTACTCCATAGGACCAGGGGAAAAAAAGACATACAGTAATTCATTTCCATTCATTGATACTTACAAGTGCCTACCACACATCAACACCGTCCTGGGCCAATCATTTCCTGAACGATACCTTTGAAAGATAAATACGGGGCGCCTGACTGGTGCATTTGGTTAAACGTCTGACTCTTGATCTCGGCTCAGGTCAAGAGTTTGAGCCCTATGTTGGGCTTTCTGCTGAGTGTGACGCCTGCTTGGGATTCTCTCTCTCTGCTCCTCCCTCAATTGTGCGTGCACGTGTGCACTCTCTCAGATAAATAAACATTAAAAAAAAAACAGAAACGTAAATACATTGTCAGTATTTTATGCTAAAAAAGGAATCACCAGATTTATCTGCCGCCTTATGATAGTAGAAAGCCAGAATAGGCAGAAAAATGCCAGTGGATCCTTTTGATGCTTCAAAAGATGACTAATTTTGCTACTAGTAGAAAATCAGATGAAATTAATTTTCTTTTTTATACCTTAGGGCCCTTTCGAGAGGAAGAGGTCTTATGATTGGTCCCAGTTCAACACTCTATATCTCCGTGTACGTGGAGATGGTCGGCCTTGGATGGTGAATATCAGAGAGGACACGGATTTAATCCAGAGGAAGAATCAGATGTACAGTTACTTCATGTTCACTCGTGGGGGGCCCTACTGGCAGGAGGTCAAGGTAACAGCACAGCTCTTTACTGTGTATGAAAATGAAGTCTTTTGAAATCATGGTTACACTGTAGTTTTTTTTTTTTCTTCCCCCCTCTTACTCCCTTTTGGAAGGTGTGGAAAGAAAAAGAAGGAAGATGAACTAGGGGTGAGATTAATATGTGATTTTTTTCTTTAATTAATATAAATGTTAGTTTCCTAACCAATAAATATTTCTGATAAGGATATGGCCAGATCCATGGTAAATCATGGGTACATCTTTGCTTTGTGCCCAAGTAGATGTTTCTTCTTAAGTTTCCATATATCCTCTCTTCCAGGCAACTCTGTTAAGCTTGTATCCCTAGTTTAGGAGAAAATCTCCCTTAAGAGCAATAAATACTTCATATTTCACAATCATTAAAATTTTTATTCATTTCTTGGTAATATAAGGCAATGTTACTTTATGAGAGTAAGCTTTAAGAAGGTAAAAATGTTAACGTAGAGGAAAAGAAGTAGACATTCAGGGAATGAATTTCAACCACCCATTCTTTTCTTCTGTCTCCTGAAGGTTTTTAATACATAAAAGAAAGTCCCTGTTTTGTTTATACTTAAACCTAAGAGTCATTCTAGATTCTTTTCTCCCTTACCCAAATATATTGTTAGCATATCCTGTCACCTGTACTTCTAAACTGCACCCAGAGTGTGACCATTCTAGCCATCTCTCCCACTCACCCTTGTCCAGGCCTTTGGATTAGTACAGCAGCCTCTTCATGGCTTTCCCTTGTTCTCTTGCCCCCTGAAATCCACTTTCCAGCTGCCAGAGTGATGTAATGCATAGTGCATACTACATCAGTCACATGCTTAAAACCCTCCAGTGGCTTCTTACAATTAGAAAAAAGTCCTTAACAGGGCCTACCGGACCTGCAGTATCAGACCCCTGTCTTCAACCTCAGTCTCCCTGCCTACCTTCCTCCTCCATACTGGCCCCTTTTCTGCGTATCAGACTCAGCAAGCTCTCCTCCAGCTCTGAGCCTTTGTACTTCATGTTGTGTCTGCTAGTATGCTCTTGACCTGATTCGTCTCTCCTGTCATTCAGCTCTCAGCTCAAAAAGTGTCAGAGAGGCCTGACCCCTGTAGCTAGAGTTGTACCCTCTAACCCAGTCACTTTGAGTAATGACACTACCCTGTTTACTTTTTTCTTAGAACTTACTACTAAGTAAAAATTATTTTGTTCATTCACTTGTCTCTTTGTTTATTGTCACTTTCTACCCTGCTCCCCTGGAACATAAATTCTGTAAATTCTGAGAGGAGGGACTTTGTCTGTATTGTTCATGGCTGTCTCCCCTGCACCTCAACAGTGTGCCTAGCATATAACAGTCACTTAATGTATATTTCTGCATTAACAGAGTTATGTAAGCAAAAAATTATTACATATGTAACACTAGTATACAAATAATATGTATAACAAATTATTACTTTAAAATGTTTATTTTTGAGAGAGAGAGAGAGAGAGAGAGAACACATGAGCAGTGGAGGGGCAGAGAGAGAGCAGGAGATGGAGGATCTGAAGCAGGCTCTGTTGCTGTTATTGCAGAGCCCAAATAAGGGGTTGAATCCATGAACCATTAGATCGTGACCTGAGTGGAAGTTGGATACTTAACTGACTGAGCCACTCAGGTGCTCCACTATAGCAAATTATTAAAACTAGGATGATAGAAAATTTGGAAAATGCCAAAAAGGGAAAAAAAAAAGTTGTACCCAGTGTTTTAACACTACCCAAAGGTAAAATACTTTTAGTGTATGTTTCAGATTTTTCTTTCATTAGTTAATTTACTTATTGTTGAATTTACATCCAGGTTAGCATACAGTGCAACAATGATTTCAAGAGTAGATTCCTTAATGCCCCTCACCCATTTAGCCCATCCCCCCTCCCACAACCCCTCCAACAACCTTCTGTTTGTTTTCTATATTTAAGAGTCTCTTATGTTTTGTTCCCTCCCTGTTTTTATATTATTTTTGCTTCCCTTCACTTATGTTCCTTGGTTTAGTATCTTAAATTCCTCACATGAGTAGTCATGATATTTGTCTTTCTCTGACTAATTTCAATTAGCATAATACCCTCCAGTTCCATCCATGTAGTTGCAAATGGCAAGATTTAATTTTTTGATTGCCAAGTAATACTCCATTTCGTGTGTGTGTCTGTGTGTGTGTGTTTGTGTGTGTGTATGCCAGATCTTTATCCATTCATCCGTTGATGGACATCTTTCCATACTTTGGCTATTGTTGATAGTGCTGCTATAAACATTGGAGTGCATATGCCCCTTCGAAATAGCATACCTGTATCCCTTGGATAAATAGTTGTGCAATGGCTGGGTTTATTGGTAGGGTAGTTCTATGTTTAATTTTTTGAGGAACCTCTATCCTTTTTTCCAGAGTGGCTGCACCAGTTTACATTCCCACCAGCAGTGCAAAAGAAGTCCTTTTTCTCTGCATCCTCACCAACATCTCTTGTTGCCTGAGTTGTTAATGTTAGCCATTCTCACAGGTGTCAAGTGTTATCATTGTGGTTTTGATTTGTATTTCCCTGTTAATGAGTGGTGGTGAGCATTGTTTGATGTGTCTATTAGCCATCTGGATGTCTTTGAATAAGTGTCTGTTCATGTCTTTTGCTCATTTCTTCACTGCATTATTCATTTTTTGGGTGTTGAGTTTGATAAGTTCTTTGATAGATTTTGGATACTAACCCCTGATCAGATATGTCATTTATAAATATCTTCTACCATTCCATCTGTTGCCTTTTAGTTTTGCTGATTATTTCCTTTGCCGTGCAGAAGCTTTTTATTTTGATGAGGTCTCAATAATTCATTTTTGCTTTTATTTCCATTGCCTCTGGAGACATGTTGAGTAAGAAGTTGCTGTGGCCGAGTCCAAGAGGTTTTTGCCTGCTTTCTTATCAAGGATTTTGATGGCTTCCTGTCTTAGGTTTATGTCTTTCATCCATTTTGAGTTTACTATTGTGTGTGGTATAAGAAAGTGGTCCAGGTTCATTTTCCTGCATGTCGCTCTCCAGTTTTCCCAGCACCATTTGCTGAAGAGACTGTCATTATTCCATTGGATACTCTTTCCTGCTTTGTCAAAGATTAGTTGGCCATACGTTTGTGGGTCCATTTCTGGGTTCTCTATTCTGTTCGATTGATCTGTTTTTGTTCCAGTACCATACTGTCTTGATGGTTACAGCTTTGTAATACATCTTAAAGTCCGGGATTATGATGCCTCCAGCTTCGGTTTTCTTTTTCACGATTGCATTGGCTATTCGGGGTCTTTTCTGGTTCCATACAAATTTTAAGATCGTTTGTTCTAGCTCTGTGAAAATGCTGGTGTTATTTTGATAGGGATTGCATTGAATATGTAGATTACTTTGGGTAGTATCAACATTTTAACAATGTTCTTCCTATCCAGGAGTATGCAATATTTTTCCTTTTATTGTGTGTGTCTTCTTCAGTTTCTTTCATAAGCTTTCTATAGTTTTCAGTGTATAGATTTTTCACTTCTTTAGTTATCTTTATTCCTAGGTATTTTATGGTTTTTGGTGCAATTGTAAATAGGATCAATTCCTTCATTTCTCTTTCTGTTGCTTCATTATTGGTATATAGAAATGCAACCAATTTCTATGCATTGATTTTTTTTATCATGCAACTTTGCTGAATTCATGGATCAGTTCTAGTAATTTTTTTGGTGGAATCTTTTAGGTTTTCCATATAGAATATCATGTCATCTGCAAAGAGTGAAAGTTTGACTTCCTCCTGGAGAATTTGGATGCCTTTTTATTCCTTTGTGCTGTTTGATTGCTGAGGCTAAGACTTCCATACTCTGCTGAATAACAGTGGTGAGAGTGTACATCCCTGTCATGTTCCTGACCTTAGGGGGAAAGTTCTGTTTTTCCCCATTGAAGAAGATATTAGCAGTGGGTCTTTCATATATGGCTTTTATGATCTTGAGGTATGATCCTTCTATCCCTACTTTCTTGAGGGCTTTTATCCAGAAAGGATGCTGTATTTTGTCAAATGCCTTGTCTGCATCTATTAAGAGGATCATGTGGTTCTTGTCCTTTCTTTTATTGATATGATGTATCACACTGATTATTTTGCACATATTGAATTAGCCCTGCATCACAGGTATAAATCCTACTTGGCTGTGGTGAATAATTCTTTTAATGTATTATTGGATCCAGTTGGCTAATATCTTGTTGAGGATTTTTGCGTCCATGTTCATCAGGGTATTTGGTCTGTAGTTTTCCTTTTTAGTGGGGTCTTTGTCTGGTTTTGGAATCAAGGTAATGCTGGCTTCATAGAAAGAGTTTGAAAGTTTTCCTTCCATTTCTATTTTTTGGAACAACTTCAAGAGAATAGGTGTTAACTCTTCTTTAAATGTTTGGTAGAATTCCCCTGGAAAGCCATCTGGCCCTGGACTCTCGTTTTTTGACTACTTATTCTGTTTCTTTACTGGTTATGAGTCAGTTCAAATTTTCTATTTCTACCTGTTTCAGTTTTGGTAGTTTATATGTTTCTAGGAATTTGTCCATTTCTCCCAGATTGTCTATTTTATTGGAGTATAATTGCTCATAATATTTTCTTACTATTGTTTGTATTTCTGCAGTGTTGGTTGTGATCTCGCCCCTTTCATTCTTTTTAATTTTTTTTTTTATGTCTTTATTTTATTTTGAGAGAGCTGGGGAGGGTCAGAGAGAGAGGAAGACACAGATTCTGAAACAGTCTCCAGGCTCCGAGCTGTCAGCACAGAGCCCGATGCAGGGCCGGAACACCCCGTGAGATCATGACCCGAGCCGAAGTCAGACGCCCAACCGACTGAGCCACCCAGGCTCCCCTCTCCCTTTTCATTCTTGATTTATTTGCATCTTTTCCTTTTTCCTTTTGGTCAGACTGGCTAGGGGGTTATTATTTTTGTTAATCCTTTCAAAGAACGAGCTCCTGGCTTCATTGATCTGTTCTACTGGTTTTTTGTTTGTTTGTT